TTGCCATTTGGATAAGTATAGTCATCTCTACAAAAATGGCAAGTTGCATAGGCTTATTTTAGCAAAAATAGTTTAGCCTAGTGAAAAGTGTCAAACAATAGATTTAAGATTTTTATTACTTTCATCCTAGCACAATAATAATGTGTAAAAATTTGCATGATCATTAGTTATGTATTTTTACCCTATTTAATTTCAATAGAAATTAGCAATTAATTAAGATTAAATAGGAAGACCATATTTCAAGTATGCTTACTGTAGGTTTAGTATTTTTCTTATCTAGAGAATTTCAACACAAGACCAACAAAATTGGAATCACATTTTTCACACTCCTCTAGCTCAAGTTATGCATTTTACAAGATTGAAACTATTTATAAAGCACTTATCTAGCTCAATTTAATTCTCCTAGAAAAATATCACAAACAGTAGGTTTCATATTTTTATCCAATAGTACACTTCATGATGAATCCAACAAAATTTGGGTCACTCAATTTGGACACTCCTAGCTCTAGATATGAATTTTTGAAGTTTGCTACAAAATCTTCAATAATAAATAAAGAAAATCGAATTTCAAATCGAGCTCAGCTGCTAGGTGCACCGGTCCAGTGCACCCACTGCTACTAATAGCGGAGGCCCACAAGTCAATGGGTCCCACCCATCAGCGATACAGGAGCAGAGGATGGCGCTGACCGGCGAAAAGCTCGCCGACGGTAAGGTCTCCGGCGAAACCCCAGGCACCATCGTGTTCCTCTCGTCAACCCACACCCAGGGGTACCCTAGGTTTGGTCGGTGGCTCACCGGTGACCATGGTGGAGGGCGATGGCGCGCTGGCCGTCTCTGGCCACGTTAGGCTCCGGCGAGAACGGTCCTACCCCTATGGTGACCTATCACAGTTCTAGAGCAAGATCTGGCCATGGTGGAGCAGTGGGGGAGCCTCACCACGTGCATGGTGGCACTGCAACGCCCAGTGCACACGGTGGAGCTCTCTATTCCGGATAACTGGCGGCGAGAGGTGGGTCTCCATCTTTGCGGTAGGAGCTAGCGTTCGTGGCTATGCATAAACATCTTCGAGTGGGGGATGATGAGACCTAGGGGCTACTGGCTGCGGCGAGCTCAAGCTCGCGGCCATGGCAGGCATGGTGGGAACGGTGGTGCGTTCCCGCATGATGGTACGGTAGCATCCATCCTAGCTCTAGCCTGAGCAGCAGTGACCTAAGGCAACTATGGATCGGAAAATAGGAAGGCGTGATATGTAGTGGAGCGGCCTAGCCACGATGAGCCGAGAGCGTGGCGGCGCTCCGGTGATGTCGTAGTGGTGGAAACGGCCGTAGGCCTTTACCTTGGGCTCGAACTAAGGCGCTAATGGGTCCAGGATGTAGAGTGTGTCGCGACGATGGCGCTGCGCTTGGCTTCGCTTGGCGGGTGAGAGAGAGACAGAGCGAGGGCGAGAGAGCGAGAAATGGAGGGAGCAGCAACATCGCCACCCTCTTCACTCTCCTTCGGCCTGACCAGTGCACCCGACACCAGCGTACGACCACTAGGTGGTGGCCTATGCGCGGTCGGCCACGACAGCCGCCGTCGAAATCGGCTATGTCCGATTCAGACGACTGACAGCGCTAATTCGTGACTCTGCATCTCCTAATCCAGTTTGAGTTAGCAAAAATGATATTAGTGAAAGTTGTAGAGCTACGTGAGATCTCCAACTTTGATCTAAGAACCATCATCTAATTCTCAATGGTTAGCTAGTGACAATGCTCCCAAGTGACGCACATTGAAACTGTAAATGGCTTTAGGACAGCAAATTCTCCAATTCCAAAAACAATATTTCTTTGCTACTTTGGAGCTATTTTGGACTATGTTAGGCATTGAATTAGCTCATGACCCTTAAATAAAGTTTGTTCCACATAAGATAAGTTACAACTCTTATTAAGGGTGCACTATCATGCAAATACTCTATGCTATAGTTCAACTTTGGTCAAAGTAGGATCATGAAAAATGGAGTTTCTAGAATAACTATGACTTGAAGGTTGTTTTGGTCCATGCCATGAATACCAAATTTGTTCCATGTACCATCCTAAGTGTGTCTAAGGTGTTTTAGTGATAAACATCAACCACTTGCCTTAACAAGCATGACCATAAAGCATACACATGTTGCAACATAGAATAACAAAGGTATGTTTCATATGAATGTTTCATATGTTTATGCTCATATATGAATGAATGATGCTTATTCTCATGCAATGCAAGTGCAAAAGTGCAAGCCTAACACCTAGGGTGTTATAGTGTAGTCCCACAAATGGCCACCAGAAAGTCGCTAGGAAGATGCAACTGGTCGCTGAGAAGTCATTTGATGATGATCACCGGGAAGAAGTTTGGTGATGATTGTTGGGAAGGTGCGAGTAGTCGCGTGGTGATGCATTCCCAAGAACCTGGTTCGACTGCACATAGGTGCCGATTCCAAAGGCCTCTCTCCCAACACATGTGCGCGTAGGAGCTGGGATGGGGAAACTAGAAAGCAACAACAATAGAAGAACGATGGTGCTAGATGTGTATGTTCACGCATGACACTGAAGGCAAACACCCCTGTTTTAATCATGGGAGATGGAAGACAAAGAGTGGAGGATGAACCTGAACATTATGAAGACGTTCGTCAGTTACCAATAACCATAACCAATCATAATAATTGCACATAATCATGATTGTTACAAGTCTAACCATCAACCACAATCAAGCCGCTGTTAATCAGCCCAAGTGACTAAAGGATCCAACCCAGCACAATGTTGTGGTGGTTTGGTCTGGCCCAAGCCCATAAGCATCGTATCATGCGACCTCTGTTGTGTTAGAAAATTAGGCAATTTTAGTTCCAGTTTAATCCAAAAAAATATTAACGACATGTTGGTGACATTAGATATGTGCACGGGCCATCTAAGCACAACCGAATTAACCAACATGATACTGATCATGATTTCAATTATAGAAAATACAACACGGGTTGCAACAGTAGCATACGCAGTGGCACTAGTGCTGACGCTAGTCCACATAGCGATTGTCGATGTAGTTGTCCCGCTCAATGCCATGTAGTAAGGTTGCAGTGCCAATCACCACCTCTGTCAAAAGTAGTACAAAGAAGAACGAAGAACGAGAAGTCACGCGGAAGACGCTCTCCAAAAACTTGATTGTCGGTCTTCACCCGAGCAGATGAACTCATGAACAACGCCGGTTTTAGAGGCCTGCTCTCCCTATTCCTGTGCGTGCAGGAACCAGGACGGGGATGGCAGGGAGGAACACAGCAGCGAAGTGGTGAGGCGTAGTTATCTCTTCTCTCTTGAGAACAAGAGGAAGAGAGTGCCCCTTTTTTATGTAGCAACAAAGGAAGACGAAGATGAAAAGCAAGGCGCATGAAGAGATAGTGGGCATCATGTCATTGTCCGTTACCAGTAACTTATGAAACTGACAAACAAATTGTCTGTTACTAGTAACGGAAACCACTAAGACATCATGAACCACTAATAAAGATCCACAAGCACATAATGGTCATCATACACTTAACCGCATCAAACAGTAAGTTACACCACATAAAGGACTCAACAAATTACACCTAGCATTAACTTAGACCTTGGAATTTCCTTTGATTTAAATGCTGAATAAAAATTGGACAAACCCAATTAAATCCAACATATTGCACCTAGCATTTAATCTTGATCTTAGGATTTATTTGATTTTAATTGAATATAATTAGACCAAGCCCAATAAAATCCAACAGCTTCACCAAACTGCACGTGCTTTACAAACAGTTAGTAGCTTTCGCTAGCTTATATGCAATGATGTAATATCACAATATACACAAAATAAAATCCCATTTTTACTATCTTTGCCACAAGGCATACGCCGTATTCCATCACAATATACACATCATACACGAGTGGAGATATATGGTATTCATACCATACACCATTCTGTCACCTCCCAATCCTCACATTGATCCATTTCTCTTCTTTGTCAAAAGGCGACGGTGATACTCACCAAGGGCCGAAATAGGGAACAGGTTGCGATAGTTTGGGTAATTGAAAAAAGGGACCTGTTGAAGCATCCAACATGCTCCTGTTGTAAAAAATGCAAACCACATCAGAATTTCGTATAGGCCTAGGCTAATCAAACACCAACAAACCGAAGCAATCATTGTTCCTAACATTCACAGACCCTACAAGAATGCCTGTGCAATTATGCATTGGCTAAGTAGCTACTATATTCTTACAAGGATCACCATCTCATCAAAAAAGTGTTAATTCACGAGTTTCACTAGAGTTACCCACAATAATCTCTTGGCACCGTGTTTCCATGTTTCGTAAGGTTAAGTCACCTCACTCATATAGTCATATGCAAAAGGCAGCTCATATTAAATAGTGCATGATAACCAGTAGCATGATTTATGTCAATGTATAGCCATGGTTTTTTAGCATGTGAACTAAATTGTATGGAGCTCTAACATATGCTAGTAGTCATATTTGTATTTGTATGCAATAAAAAATGGTTGTTTCAATTCATTCCTTCAATAGTTTGAGAGTAAATTTTATAAGCTGCACTAAGATTGCAAAAAGGAACATATCAAACTACACTACAAGAACCAATTTGCAAATCTGCATTTCTATGGGCCTTCTATATGGAGAAACTACACTTTTAAAATCAACATGTCAAAACTAAAGTTTCTTCTTGTTTTCTGTTGCAAACTACACTTTTAAGACAATAAACAAGTTCTATGATGTGAAACAACAATAAATGTAGACCTGAAGTGGCAACAGAATTGGGCTTTATGAATTTATTTTTAAGACAGAAAAACTGCAGTTTTGTTATTCTAATGTCATTGTGAAACTTCTTTTTAAAAGGTTTTGCAATAATTTCCTCAACCACTCAACATAGAGCAATTTTGTGAACTTTACATTAATTAATATGCAAGATTATATGTTTTCCTTGGTCATCAAAACTAGGTATCATCAATTTTTTGTTCAAACTAAAAGAAACACAACAAATTTACTTCTTGTTGTAGATAAAAAGACTACTTCAACACTAGAAATTTGGAAACCTACTTGTTGAGGAAATTCTCCTATTTCCATCTGCATATTGATCAGCTCTTTCGCAGCATGATGCAGTGGTGCTGGGTCATGCTCAATCTGGTATTCAAATGAAGGTGTAATGACCTTTCGATAAATTGCATACTGTTGTCGAAATCAAACTAAAATGGCATACACTTGTAAAAATTAAAATAAAGAGCCTGCATATCATACCTGTCCAGCATAAATTAAAGCCAGCATTGCCCAAGCAGTATTCACTGCATGAGCACGGTCTCCTTTGAAATTTACATAAACCTGCTTAGTGTTACAAAGATAAGTCGTCAGATGATATATGCAAATATATTAGATATTCCAGAAAAAATAAGTTATGGCATTGCAATAATAAAATTGCTACTTGAGTAAATTTTGTTGTCAATAAAACTTAATGAGAGCATGCTTGCAGAAGAAAGATCCAAAATATACACCAAATCCAGTGAGTGACATGTGATTGTGATTAAAATCCAGGCTAACTATGTGTCAATTTGTTAGCATAATTACCAACAAACAAATTGTTTGTCCTATTCATTTCACCAAATAGGTAATAAGAAATAGAAGCATCCTAACAATTACAAGAAAAAATTGATTACCTGAGTTTCATTAGATACATGGCTTTCTCCCCATCCACCACTAAGTATTGACTGCTTCGACAATAGAAACTGGCATGCTTTCATGATAGAAGGGCTATTCTCGTATGTTCTTCCAGCAGTCACCAATCCTTTAATCGAAAAGAAGGCCGCATAAGTGAAACACACACCCCAAGTTCCTAACCTGCAAAAGGAAAGTAATTTTGTTATCAACAGTTGAAGAATAAATCTGTTGCGTAAGTATGTAAACATTGAATTATAACAAACCAAGAACCATCTTCTTGTTGTCTGCTCTCAATAAATGTTGCCGCGCTTCTGATACATTTTTTTATATCTTTGATACGGTAGGAAGGGTATAATTCTTTGAACAGTACCAGCGCTTGAAGCATTGATGAAGTGCATTCTGGATAACTGCCAATTCATGTTACAATATAAATTAATTTGTTCAATTGAAAAGAAAATTCATTTAGTAGTATTTTTGCTAAATGCTATGTCATTTTCATCACTTACGGATGATCAACAACCATGTTTGGAAAACTCTCACAGGGATTGACGATCTAGGTAATTAATAGAAAAATTGTATGTCAATGCAATGAAACTGTAACCAGTGAGATTCTATTGAAACAAATAGTTAAGATTACATAATACAAAGCACAAGACCATATTGCTAAAGGAACAAAGTAGAACATATGAGAATGGCCTGTAGATACTTACCTCTATCCAAGAAGAAGTTCTTTTGCATTCATATGTTGAAAAGGTACCATCTGTATTCTAAAATGTAAAATGATTAACAATTAACAAATAATCCTTGCAGCTTAGAACAATGGCAACACAGGTAAAGATTTTAAAGGATGTAGCTGACATAGTAACAATTGGTTGAAATGTTATTATTTGACACTATGACTATCTGAAGGTGATGAAGAATAATGGAAACTGTTTGCAAACATTTCAGAATCACAGCCATATTTGAGAATTATCCATGTACACTTTGTCCTATTACCTCGGTATGTTTTGTGTAACATATTATTTGGTATCAATGGGGTATAATTGTGATATTTGATTTTTCATGGAACACATGAGTACAAGACTGCTAGTGAATTCATACCATAAAAGATAGAAGGCAATCAACAGCATCATACAACCTTCCTCTTTCTATTGGATACCCGACAAGGTTGTTTGAGATTTTTGATAACAGCAGTACAGCCTGGAAATGAAATTGAGTAAGTTCTTATGGAACAGATAATTAAAACCATGGGACTCAACAATAGATCAAGCACATCCCGATTATTATTATGTAAGGTTTAGCTTTGTGATCCTAGTAATTTATATGAAAACAAATTTTACTTGTCTACCTTCAGTGCTTCTCCTGTAGTGTCAAAGACAGCCCATCCATTGTCTGCAGATGAAAGAGTCCATGAACCCTTTGATGTATGACGATGCCAGTAACTTTGGTCACCAGGATGATTCCTGAGAACCTTAATACAAACACGCATGTCAAGTAACTTTAAATTACTGTCTGAAATGGTTATTTTTTTATATATTTAGAGTATTTGGGATAAAATAAGAAACCTGTGAATGTTTTATGAACTCATGGGCTCTCTGAATAGTTGGACCATACTCATTGACAAGATCTGTAGCGCAAAATGCTTGAATTATAAAAGCTGTCTCCCAGCTCTGACAACCATCATATACCTACCAACACACACATGTACAACAATTTTAATAAATTAGTACAACACAATGTGTATCTTGTAACAGATAGTTCATGATGGGGACCATCTATCTTTGTCATTAGTTTTCTGCTTGGTAAATTAGTTCATGATGTGCAATGAACATCAATGGAACTTGAATGCAAATTTTCCATTAGTTTTCTGCTTGGTAAACTTCAGCGGTGATGTCAACACAATTAGCCAAAGGAAACCTTCCTAGTTGAATGTATGATTGTAGCTCAACGGATTAGCAGTAGTGCACCTACTAATAATGACAGCACAACATACATGCTAGGAACTACAAATTGTGCATGAGAACAGGATAAGTTATACCTGTGCTTTCATGCCATCTTCTGAGAGCCACAAGAAATCAGGTATCCTTGCAAGATGACACCTGAATGCGTCTGAATTTGGATCTTCTACCCAGCAGCAGACCATGTTCAGAGTCTAAACATTGAATTAATTAATATTGACAAACACCAAGAGTCAGTCCACAAAGACATGATAATTGAAGACAAACAAACATGACAATAGTGCATATGCTATATCATAGAACACAATAATAGAAACAAGACCAAGCCAGGACAAATGCCTATGCATTTAGTTCGAGTGCAGATAGTGAGGCCTGAGCGATATTACCTTGTTTACAGCACATATGCAGACATACTGCGTGTTCACATCTTCATAATGGATATGCTCCATGAGATTCCTCAGAGCTCTCTCCCTCAGCTTATTCATTGGCCAACAGCTCAATACTGGTTCGACATACTTGTAAAGTGAGGTCCAAACAGCATCTTGCAGCGGTGTCCGTGGACAGAGCAGGTCCTCCTGAAATTGAAAAACAAAAAAGGGAGGACTAGAAATTTCAACAAGTCAAAAACTTCATCTTAGTTAAACAAGATCTCCTTCCTGCATTGTTATAAGTAGAGAAATATATGTTTCTCTCACTTCATGATGGTTTGCATGACAAACACAAAAACAAACTGAACTCAGAACTGCTTTTCTGGAAATCCATCAAAAGCACTTCACTGAGGCAAATAAAAAATATAGAAACAGCAAGGAATCTGGTAAACCTTTGCACAGGCTCTACGAGCCTCACTCCAGTCAATCTTTTCATATGAAGAGTCATAAATCTCCTCTCTGATGGCCAGTATAGTTGATGTAATTGGTCCCACGAATTTCTTACCAAAGGTAAGCCATTGGGAGATAAACCATACGGGTTAAGCACCAGAATTTCCCTACAAAAGACAATGTTCAAATTCAGCAAATCCATGCTTCCAGTGTATCATACCCTGGAGGTTTGAAATTGGGGAGATAGCCCTAGTTCAGGGAAAATTGGATTATTTCCTGACCAATCGTACACTCCAAGTATCTCCATTTGATTCCAAAGAAAATTAAGTTATTATCAGGTACACAATGCAATGGAATTAGAGATTACAAATGAGACCGCGGTATATATTTTCCCTGAAAAAAGTGAGTCCTAATATGAAATACAAGTTATTAGACATATATGCACCATGAAGCATACCGAAAGCCATATTTTTCCCCACTGGGGCACCAAGGTTGCACCACCATGGGTTAGGATCCATGCACGCCCTTTAGCCAATGCATTGTTCTTGCCATTTAGCTCCTCGCCGAGAAGCCTTAGGGTGATGTAATTGGAACATGTGCCAAACATGCTGCTTGAGCCTATTATAAGAGTGCCCCATCCACCATCTTCGTTCTACATAATATTCATGTGAAAAACAAAAATACTATTAAATTGTGAAAATAATATTAAATTAGGTATGGCCTTAAAAATGTGTATATAATGTAAGGCACACTTGTTTGAAGTAATACAAAGTTATTCATAAGTATCTGCAGAAAAAGAAATTCTTTCATGATTCTAACAATCTAGCAATAATAGGAGAGAAATGCTATGAGTCCTATGGCATTGGCAGGCCATTATCCCAGCCATCCAAAAAAGGCATCGGAGAGAGTCCAAGAGAATCATGCCATGCCTGATGGTTGTATATGTAGCGGCATATCTCACGCCGATGTTCCGGTGATATCACAACATTGAGTGATTTGGTGACATACAATGCAAATATCTGCAAGTGAAGGTGAAAGAATGTTTTATTCTTATCAGTACAAATGTAATGACGGTGTAATGTTAGTCCATTAAGCTAGAAAAGCAAGTAAATAGAAAAATGTGCATGATGTTGTGAAGCAGAAACAAAGGCGCACCAAGCCAGGCACGATGAACATGACCCCACTAAAATCACCGGGCCAGTGCCCATCACTGGCTTGCAGAGAAGAGAACTTATCCAAAGCTCGCCTTAATGAGTTGAGTACAATTTCTTCAGTGACCTGTTCATCCTCCTGAAGGTTGATGCGTGGAAGATCTCGTTGAGGACCGTTTTCCTTTGCACACTGCAACAAATTAAAGAATTTGTGATAGAGATTCTGATAGCTTATAGCTGTTAATTAATTATTATTTTTTTTGACATACTTAGGTTACGTACCTAGAACGTTGTTCGCCTAACCGGCCGTTTAGCCCATTTAAACACCGTGTAAACGCTACACGGTGGTACGCCGTTTCCGTTTAATCATCCGTTTAGCCCGTTTAATTTGTCGTTTAGCCCCTTTAATGGACTGTTTAGCCTGAATAATGGCTAAACGGGAGGTGACCGACTGTTTGCCGTTTAACATTTACGAAAATAGTGACCTAGAATATTTAAAAGGAAATAGTATTAATGCCCTGTTCGCTTGAACGTCTGGCTTATCAGCCATAGAACAGTGTTTTTCTCTCACCACAAATTAGCTTCAGCCGGCTTATCAGCCGCAGAAACCATCAGCCGAATAGTGTTTTAATCTTGAAAATGATTGATTGACCATCCATAAGTTGAAACCAACGAGAACAAAGCAACCGCCTGGCCGGCGGCCACCATAGCCCATGGAGCACCCCGGCTCTTGCTAGAGAGGAAACCACAAAAGGGAGTGGAAACCTCCATCGCCACGTTGAAATGGCTTCTCTTCCGAGTTCTGACCGCTCTCAGCATAGGCAGGTCCTCGCTTGCGGCTGCCCAGGGCAATTGCCTCACCTCCCCCGCTGGACATCCTTCGCCACCGCCAGCTTACCACCAGCCCAAAGCCTTCAATTGCCGGCCCATCAACCAAACTGCTAAGAGCCTGAGCCCATGGACCTTTTAACCTCATTTAATGTTGGGCCATCCAGGTAAGCCAAATTCTAATGCGGCGTAGTAACAGCTCACCCACTTTTCAACACCTACCTTCAATAAAAATATGTACTGCATTTTCTAGAAAACAATAATATATTATGTTCTGTTTGGAACCCTTTGTGTGAGAATTGATTTTGATCTAGTTATATGTTTCTACTAGTATGCTATGGTTTGAAGAATCTATGTGTTTGGCAATCCTTATTCTTTGTTTCTGAGTGTAAAATTGACATCAATGCTCCTGAGGCTGGTGATAGCTCATTTGCTGATTGAGTACGGGCTAAAATCAATTATGATATTAGTTTTTTAGTTTGTTGACATGTATCATGAGCACCTCTAAAGATTTGAGCTTGCTTTGTATAATTTGGAAACTTACTTCAAATATATAATTTTCACATATGCTTTCTGAAGGAACTTTGATTTTCACCATAGCTTATATATTGTGAGTTAGCATGATAAAATATTATTTTTCAAACCATGAATTTAGATGATTTTTCTCATATTTTCTTGGCAATGGTTTTGCTATAGATGGGCAACGGGCCGGCCCGACGAGGCACGGTCCGGCATGCCACCGAGCTGTGCCGCCCTGGGCTTCGTGCCTGGATGATGGCCCAAGCACGGCCTTTTGGGCCCTTTTCTGTGCCGGGCCGGCCTAGAAAGCAAGGCCTTTTTAGCAGGCCGGGCCGGCCGGAGGCCCACCAAATTAGAACAAAGAGTAGCAGAAGGCAAGGCCTGGAGGTGGCAGCGGCCGCCGGTGAGCTCTCCCCCGGGAGGACGCGGCGAAGTAGTTGGCGGAGGAGGGGAGGGACACAAAGTAGCTAGTGGCTCTGCCATGGTCTGGTCGGATCCGTGGAGGACGCACTGGCTCTCCTTTAGCTTGGTGGCCAACACAAAAAGAGGAGGTGGCAACGGCTGCTGGCGCATGCTGCGCGCTTGCCGCCGAGGCCGAAAGCCGGATCTGCGAGAGGGCGTCGAGGAGGCAGCCGGCTGCCGTGGTAGAGGAGTGCCGCCGCCATGGGGAAGGTTCCATGAGGGAGCACAAAAGCTGCATCGCGGAGAAGGAGAAGGCGTCGGGGCACAACTCAGGGCCGGCCACGTGACTCATGAGGTAGCGCTCACGCGAGAGGAGGGGGATCCGTGTCCGCACGAGGGGGGCGTCTGTGTCGCACAAGCCACGAGGGGAAGAGGGCGTCCGTGTCGCACGAGGGAAAGAATGACGAGCGGCGTGGGGAGGGAGGCCGGTTAGGGTTTTGGGGAATAGAAATCGTGGGCCTTTAGAAGGCCATGGCAGGCATCAGGCCGTCACCGGGCCTTCACTAAATTACGGGCCGTGTCGTGCCTGCCCGCGTACCTGGGGTAAGGCCCAGGCATGGCCTGCTTGCTCGGGCTGTGCCAGCCCGAGCCCGCTGGCCATCGGGCTGGGCCGTGCTTGGGCCATGCCAAAAAAAAGGGCCTCGTGCCGGGCTGATGGGCTCGGGCTGCATGCCCATATATAGGTTTTGCAACTAATCTGTTTAGCCAAAAACTCAAAGATAGCAATTTCAGGGAAAAATAATTTTAAAGCTACAAAACATATGATTCCAGATCAAACAAAAATGGGTCGCTCTTGATTTAATCTATAGCATATACCAAAAAATACATGAGTTTTTTGAAGTCTCTAGGTATTTATTTTTGTTTCTGGCAAAATTCAAAACTAGAGAATGTCCTTCCTCTTTGTTTCTTCACGTTAGCAGGAGGTGGACGGCCGAACAAGCAAGTGATGTGGCTCTGCGTGGCGGAGCGAGCTAGGGAGCAGAGAGAAGGGGCGAGCATACAGAAGGCAACGGACGAAACCGCCCATGATTGAAGGAATGTGTAGACTATAGAGGTCTCTCCCGCCGTCTCCCGCAATAGAGTGAACCGCGGGATATAATTGAAAGGTCGATTGTTACAACCACAACGGGCAAACAAATCAACAAATAATCAAGTCGTTTAGGTCGGATTCTCAATTCGTTTCACCTAGAAACAGATTTTAAGCAGTTCCCAACATGTCCTTAGAAATCAACCACTTTTATTCTTCTTATTTTTATCTTTTTCTGGAGCTACCTAACTACCTCTATGGACGTGTATACGAGATTATACGTGTTGATTTTAAGACTAACAAAGTCACCATAATGTGACTCACTGTCATGACTCGTGAGAGGCATATCAGATACTTGTAAAATAAATAACCACACCCAACAACTTCATCTATATGGGAGATTCAATCGATAGATCTTGAGATTGATGAAATCATTACAAACTTCATGTTGTTGACAAGCATCTACTAGCACCGAAACAAATAATGAGACTATGTAAAAACTTAAGATTAGACATTTGATGCATACGAAGAACAACCATCTCATTATGTATTTGACATAGAACATCATACGAAAAGCCATCCCATGTTTAGATTCGAGACTTAGGCTTGAAGTGGCTACCAAAACCCATCGTCATTGTCATGACATTCCATGTTTATTTCTGCACCCAACTTCTATTGACCTAGTTGTTAATCGCCTCTCCGCCTATATATGGTGTTCACTAGTGCCCACCCCACCCATTGCATTCCTCGCCTTAGTAGGGCATATCATCATCCTTGTCTGTCAACACTTGCTTCAACAAATGAATTAATAATATCCTTGATTGACACTACCTCCACCTAATTTCCCTTGTGTGGGTGTGGGGGTGAGGGAGAGGCGGCATTGCTAGCGCATGGTATCACACGTGCAGCTCAACGTAATGACAGACCTGAAAAGAACTTTAGCACCCTAAGGCTGCCACATCAGAGTCGGGTCTCTTAGAATGCATCGATGTGTTTTGAACTATCACAGTTGGGATAGACACCACCCATCTCTGATGTGGTCGTCTCTAATTAGAGACTCAATTTTCCATATGCACATATGTGATAACAATAATGTTAGAGATGGGGATAGTCATCAATTGTCTTGGATGTGGACCCAAACATCACAGACAAGTCCTTACTTAAGACCCGTATGTGATGTATGTAATATTAGAGACAAACCTTGTTAAACTCTATTTGTGTTAATGTGCCCTCCTATCATAGATGGCCCCCAGTTGAGCCCCATCTGTGATGAGGGGCGACCTTAAACCTGGCCCTGTGGGAGCCAATATTAGAGATAGGTATATGGTTAAGCCTCATGTCTAATTAGTCACCAGAGACACATATTAGCCCGTCTCTAATAGTAATGTCTTCTTTGTGCTTTTCTGGCATAGTGAATCCGTCTCCATCACATTCCAATTCAAGGTCTCCTTGTCTATGGCACCATGTGCAAGTGCAATAAAGGAGGTAATCAAGGATGCTTGACTTTTATTTTCTCGGAACATAATACCTTTTTGACTAATCCTTTTGCATAATAATCAAGGACAAAAGTGACAAAAGAAGGCTATATATATAAATTTTCCTTGTTAGTAGGCTTAGACTATAAGTTGGTGTTTGGATGGGAGGATGCAATGGGATAGGCTAGAGCGGTCCTTCTTTTGGTGGTTTTTGAATTGAAGACTACAGGGATGTGATCACTCCTCCTAGAGAACATTCCCTTAATATGCGGGGCATCTATTTGTAGTATGGTTTTAGTTGCTTTATTTGTTCATCATATCCATCTCTTTTAAGTCATTATTTGATTTGTTTTATGTTTTATTGCAACTAGCCGGCCCCTACTGTTGAGGGCTACTACTGTTTCGGAGGCAGCAGTGTACTGTTGCTACTGCTGTGGAACCGTTTACTCGACAGAATTGTACGTTTAATGTGCCGCGTTACAGTGAATGAGTGGAACAGCAAAGATCATCCTTAATTTAATATCATAAATGTTGATATATTTTGCTATAAACTTGATTAAATTAAGCTAGATAGTAGAAGATAAAACTAGAGCGTGAGCTAGATGTGCCACTGCTATGGTATTATTATGATTATAAATCTAGCATGTGCAAGTGGATTTATTACCTGCATGCGCATGAGGAGATCGGAAGACTCCCTCCGCTTGAAGCGGTTCTCAGTGAACTCACGGCGCATCTTCTCAAGCTCGGAATGCTCGTCCAATGTGCCAAGGTCTGGGTCGAATTCCCACACGGCTCGCCCGAGGAAGCCGTTGGTCGATCGTAGCCACAGGCCGCCGCCCTCCGCCACCTTGAGCCTCCACATGTTCTCAAGATTTTTGCTAACCGCTCGAATAATACTACTAGCTAGCTGCAGTCTGCTTGTGATCAGCAAGCAGATGGCCTCATATATAAAGTCTCTGCATGCATGCGAGACAGAAGACGATGTTGAGAGCTATGCGTGTCGACTCGACCGTCTTATAATAACAATTTGGATTCCTCGGGCTACTGGATTGGTCAGATTAATTTTTCTAGTGGCATATGGGCCGAACTATCAGCCTGCCGGCCGAATTTTGGCCATCAAATCGGCAACATATGGGCCGAAAATGAACTGCAATTCCTTGCATGAGCTGGGCCAAGCCGATGAGAACATAACGCCTAATAATATAACTATTAAATATAATAAGGTGAGTTTGTTCCTATGTTTACATAACGATTTCATGCTAGTTACTTTCAATTGGTTAGTAACAATAACGACGACAACGACGACGATGATGATGATGCGAACATGACCAAGAGACAGGTACGGTTAAGCCTCATGTCTAATTAGTCACCAAAGACACACATTAGCCCATCTCTAATATAATGCTTTGTGCGTTTCTGGCATAGTGAATCCGTCTCCATCACAATCCAGTTCAAGGTGTCCTTGTCCATGGCACCATGTGCAAGTGCAATAAAGGAGGTAATCAAGGATATATTGCACTGATATATATTCCAACCATTTTTGTCGAATGATCAATTGTATTTTATAGACTACATTGCTAATGTTTTCAAATATCGAATTTATGTATAGGTTTAGGTTCATACGATGCTATTGGTCAAGACATGCGAGGCGAGACTTTCATGTTTCTATCAATTATGTTGTGGATTTAAGCATGGACTTGAGATAATCATCTAAAGTTATGCATTTACGGACTAGTTTTATTATCTATATATCAGTAATCTTGGCTATGAAAATTGTCAAGCCTGAGTCAACGAATAATACGGGAGTAATTGGTTGATACATCGGACGATTTGTTATATTGACCCAGATGTCTTTACAAGCATCAAAGGTGAATATATGTTATACATCATTTTCATCAACCGGAGTCTCTGATGAAAAAGTGACTATCTTTACCTCAAACTAGGGCAAGTGATATGTTGCACTGATATGTTCCTACCATTTATGCCGAATGATCAGTTGTATTTTATGGAATACATTGCTAATATTTTTTAATACCAAATTTATGCGTGTAGGTTCAAGTTCATTTGATTTGTTGACGAAGATACGGGAGAAGAGGGCGAACCAAACCATCATTATTTAGGTAATTATTAACCACTTTCATGTTTCTATCAATTATGTTGTGGATTTGCGGCAGAACCGCCTAATCTAATACCTCCTAGGAGTGCTCGTCTTTCATTAGACACTAAGCATCCAAGGGAGAACACTAAATTACTCAGTTCCATCGGGCACACCCCAGGGGGAGAACCCGAAAATCCACATTTTTCCATCAGGATCACAAATGAGAGAATAAAGCTTACATCATTCTTAACCATTACTTACATCACTTTTAATACAATATCAGAGTATAATATTTATAATTATAACAGCGGAATATAATCATATTATCAGAGTTATGAACAATTTAATTTAACAGCGAAATATAAACATGTGATCAGATGTTCAACGGAAATAAATATCTATTCATAGCATGATGACACATTGATAATTGAACTATGACAACAGATTATAGACTTTCATTTATAAAAACATTTGGTGAGAGTTATAAATAAGGACTATGATCGCGTCGTAAAGAAAATCCTCTGTGAGCCCACCAGGAGGAATCCACACACAAGAGTCAGCTCTAGCTTCCATCTGCCACCTGCAACAGGGGGGATAAAACCCTGAGTACTCAATTGTACTCAGCAAGACTTACCCGACAGGATAAAAGAAAAGACTCCAAGGATATGCAAGGCTATTTGGCTTGTGGGTTTATTGCATTTGCAGGAGCATTACTAAAAGTGCGTCCTTATATTCCATTTTTATTAACAGCCGCATTGGTTCATTAACTAACCATTCGATGTAAGCACATCTACTACTTTCAAGCAGGTGGTAAGCAATCAAAGTTTCTTTTTCCATTCCATCTTTCATCTTTCAGTTCTTACTACGGTGCTAGAGTTAAGACAAGTCATACCGACTTGGCGGCGATTCGCAAACCAATGTCCCCAGCTGGGTACCCCAAAAACACACGCCCCGCTTGTACCCAAGGCACAAGCAGGACCAACCCATCACCCTCCTGTCCTGGGTGTCCAGGTCCCCGTCCAAACTGGGACTCCAAGCCCCTGCCCCTGAGTCCTAGACTCAGTGCAGTGCAAGGACTTCCTCCATCAAAAACAAAACCCTAACAATCAGTCTGGAAAAAGCTGGATCCACGACAAGAGAGCAACAAGTCTTCCAAACGCCCATACACAAGTATGTACTCGGGATAATAAATCTGTGACTTGCCTAGTGTCTTATGCAACGGTCGGTCCTTAACCGACACAAACAGGGAAAGCAGTGTAACCAGGGTATGCCCCGCGTTCACGGCGACACAACATCTTACACCCACGAATACCACGAATACCCAAACCATATCCCTGTCAGTCATGATTTTCCTTTCCACCATTATATTTTCCAGTAATATATTTTCTATCTCTCGCGAGTGACAGGCAATCACTCGACTTCTATCGGAGTCCTGTAGCATAGCATTCTACACGATCCTGTCATACTAGTAAGACTCATAGGATATATATATATATATATATATATATGCAAGTGGGTTTTATTCAACTCCTTAAAACTTAATGCACAAATATAATTTAAACTGCAGAAAAGTAGGGGTTATGCACCGGGGCTTACCTGGGTAAGATATATATTAAAAGTTAGTATTTGCATCTTCAGATCATCCACCATCATCCGAATAGAAGCCCATTGCATCATCTCCTAGAGAGAATACCATTACACTATTTTCGGATTCCCAATCATCATTCAATTGATCCGTTGATCCATTATCGTACCTATATGATATGCATTGATGCAAATGCATAGATGTAAATAACCAATGACAGCCGAAATACTTAGAAACCCGATCATGCCTCACAAGCTAACGAGATAGCTCTAACGCTAGTCTTCATATCCATATTGTCGAATAAGACGTTATTTTTCAATAATTATTTTAGTTATATAAACCCAAGGTGTTTCTTTATTTCACTCTATCAATTTAATCTTTATTCGAAATAGGGCATCATTATTTATCTAGCAACTAATTATTCTGAAGCTACAAAAATTACAGTGAGTACCTAACATTGCTAGGAGCCTACTGTACAAATTTTAGATTCAACAATATTACCAATTTATCATGGAAATTCCTACAAGTTTATATTTTACAATATTAAGTACCTTAAATTAATTATATAGCTTCCAAGAATATTATCACACTATGTGAAAAACTATACTAACAGGTAGATCCTGATTTTAGGAGACTAACAAAATTAGTTTCACCATTTTTAGATCCCTATACTATTTTATATTGCTTTTACAACTTAACTAGAAACCTATATTAGAAAAGTATTTAAATAACGGAAAAGGGCTGGAGGCAACCCAGTCGACCCAACAACTCCCAGGGCCCGCAAACGCGCGCGTGGCCCAGTGGAAAACAGCGGACCACGTAGACTCGCAGCGTGCGGCCCAGGCCCGGTGGCACAAGGCTGTCCCAAGCAGCCAATCGGCGGGCTACGGCCGGAGTGGGCCGGCCCACGCGGGGCGCGCGGCACCAGGCCCAGCGTGGCGGACGCACGACCTATCAAGGCTGGCGGCGCGGATAGCCCAGAGATAGGCAGCCGCAGCCCAAGTAGGGGCGGGGCGCGCGCGGCGCAATCGGCCCAGCGACGGCCCAAGGCTAGGAGGCCCGCGCGCACCATCGTTTTCTAGAAATGACCCTAGATTTCAACGAAATTAACCCATAGCCCTATCCACTATTGCTCTCTTTCTTTGACGCTTTTACCCAGCCCCCAGACTTTCTCCTAATTCGAGTGCACCAGCCTCCCGGCGACGGCGTGGCTCCGGCTGACACTGCCCCGCTGCGCCGGTCAGCAGAGCGAGGCGCCGACTAAAGGAGCAGGGCGACGAGCACTGCGGAGCCAAAACAAGACCCAGGTGTCGATTAGGGACCGAACGGTGACTCCTAATGCTCTAACCACTCCGACGGACTACAAGCTATGGCGGCGTGACTGTTCCAGCGTCCTGCGACCTCAGAGACGGAAATGAAAAGATGGGAGAGCAGCAGCACCTTACCCCGGACACGGCTACAGTATCGACTGGAGTGGAAATGGCCCGTGCTAGGATGGCCACGTGCACAGTGAAGGGCGGTGGCGCGCTGAGCGTGGCGCGGCCATGGCATCTCGTCGTCGGTGAAGGTCCTGACCAAAACAAGACGAGCACCAGATCGAGGAGGTTAAGGCGAGTTAGAAATTGCATTCGATCGAACTGCTACCGCAGCCTTGGGCCTTACCCCCAAACGTGCTCCGTAACGGCGGCGGACAGACCGGCGGCGACGGCGATGCTCCGCGCGCGCACTTTGGTGGACGATTTCCATAACGGTTGACAGCAGTGGCAAGCTAGGGACCCTGGGCACTAGTGAGTGCAAGGAATTGGAGGGAGGAGCTTCGTGCACGATGAATTTCGGAGGAGAGGGAGTGCGGTCATGGTGACTAGCGACGACGACACGACTTAAAGGCGCAGAGCTGAGTGGGTCGGCGAGCTAACTGGTCGAGTGATCAGGGCATGGGGTAGGGCGCACGTGGTACCGCATGGTCGGTAGGGCACGTCGGCTGGCACGGACAGCGCCACAAAGGTGCGCCTGCGCGCGGTCAAATGCAACAGCGACACGACCGGCAATGCGACGACATCGAGAACAGGGTGAGGTAGGCAGGTCGAGTAGCAAGGGACGAGCTCTACAGCGGCCGAGGTGACAAGAGGCAAGGGCGCGGGCCTACGCCGGTGTGCGAGAGCAGCGCCACGGCCGGCTA